GGCGAGTTATAGTTTCTGCCCTTGGCGACCCGAAGCCCGCCATTCCCACTTCTTAGGATCCAATTTCAGTTTTGCCACTGGTTTACCCTTGGCGAATAACGCTGTGACCATCCGATCTCCTTTCTGGGGATATTCTATTACTCGAATCTGAGTAAAGGTTGTCCCTATCTGTGGCTGGATCTGCAGTTCCTCACTGTGTAGCTGTTGTTGGTCTTCATTGGAGATGTGCCAACCTTGAAAAATTATTTTCCCATCCGGTTGGATATGCATCAACTTCCAGATCTGGAAGGGTTGAGCCGGTTCATAGTTTTCTGTTTTCACATAGTCCGCAGCCTGGAAAAAAAACGGAAAAAAAGAAAAAAAAAAAGAAGAAGAAATCTTTGAAATGGTGCCGCAGGGTGCCACCCGCCCGCCGCAGATTGCCGCACGGTCCGCACCGGTATCGGAATGAAACCAAACGAGTGTGGCCATCGAATACAGCGAGAAGGCAAGGCTACCGGCAGCGCGACCACTGACTTCTTCATTCACAACCATCCAGCAAACCACGTTTCGGAGAGTCGCGCCCTGGCGTTTTTTTTTGTGTATATACCTGGGCAGGCCTAGTAGGAGCGGGCATCTAGATGAGATTCCAGCCAGTGCTTGACTGAAGAGTGTTCGCGGAGCCAGCGCGTGAGGTCGGAGTGAGGGAGCGCGACGCGAGCCTCGAGGACGCTCCGCGAGGTCGGCGGGAGGGACGCGACGCGAGCCTCGAGGACGCGACGAACGGTACGCAAGTGAGAAAGAAGGCGAGGAGGTGGACTGAAGAAGACCACGATCATGTCGCGTTCTGTGAATGCTGCGGCGGCTATGGCGGCCTTGGTTCTGGTCGCGGCTCTGTGTGTTACGGTCCCCGCACGAGCGCAGCCTCCTTCGGTGACCATCCAGTCTGTCACTTTCATGGGCTCGGGCTGCAGCTGGAGTAACGCTAACTACTATTTGTCCGCCGACTACAAGGTCCTCACATTCATGTTGGGGGGGATGGTTGCAACGACGGACTCTGGGCTGGCCGGCAAGCGGAAGAACTGCCAAATCTCGGTGGGGTTGAAGTATTCCGACGGGTTCAGCTACTCGCTGGCGACGGTGACGGGCCGCGGCTTCGCCGACATTGCCTGCCGCTCCACGGGGACCTATCAGGCGAGCTACTACGTCTCGGGACAAACTGGGACGGCGTCCGCATCACGCACGATCGCGGGCAAGTTCACTGGCAACTACGAGTTCACGGACAAGGTCTCCAGGGTCATCTCGAGCAACTGCAACAATGCCACCAACCTCGACATCGACTCCGAGGTGCGAGTGGATGGAAAGAAGGCCTTCATGACGCTGGACTCGTTGGACCAGAAATTTGTGCTCCAGTATAGACTTAACTGGACGACCTGCTGATGACGCTCTCACTGCACTCGTCGTGTACCGGTTGTCGTCCGCCGGGCGGAGTCGTTTTGGAAAGCAGGCTGTGAAAAGCACCGCGACGAGCACCGTACTTTCTCTCGTCTGATCAAGACGGTGCTACGAAATGCTACGTTGTCCTCTAGAGAGTGGTGGGTAGTAGCGAAGGGCAGAAGGTCCTTGTTTTTTTTTGTCGGAGAGAGCGGGGATGTGTGCCTGTAGTTTACCGAGGTCGCCGGTTGCTCTGGGTGTTCTCACCAGTCATTAAGTGCATATCTTCTGTCTGCTCAGGTAGTGACTGTTAGGTAAGATGATGCTGGGCCAGTTGTTGTCAGATATTTCGGCTACAATGTTGTGCGGATTAAGTATACAAATGTCTGGTGTAAAAATCGCTCAACATCTCCAGAGCTTCGTACCAATCCTTCGCTCGCTGTCTTTTTTTCTCTTCCTTTCTCTCTCTCCCTCTCTCTGTCTCTCGCTGTCGTTTTTTCTCTTCCTCTATTGTTTGTCTCTCGCGTGGGAAAGACCTCTACATCTCTCCGAGAACATATTTGACACCATGGGCATGACCTTCGTTTGTTGGTTTCCTCTGACACCGCTGTTCGAGTCGCGTGAAGGAATTTTGAGCAAATGTGTATGTATACCGCGTGTCTTCTTTGTTTCACCCCCCCTCCCTTCTCTCTCTCTCTCTCTTGTTCTCTCACAATGCTGCCCTCTCTTTTGTGCGATTTTGGACTTACACCATGTGTGATCTCTCCACTAGCAGCCTGGCTGAGCCGATTCTTTGGGTGTAGTATTGTTGCGCATTGGACCCTTTCGACATTTGCTTTTGCTGCTATCGCTAGGATTTGCAGAGGATCAGTATGCTGTCGATACCTATAACTGCTACGTGTTGTCTCAAATCCGATCTTTTGTGCATGGACGTGCAAGCACTCTTCGTGAACAGTAATGACCCGTTCAAATCCGATTTGCGCATACCATCCTTGTGCTCCTTGTGCGCGGAGCCCCTGCTAATCATGTCAGTACTGATCCAGTTTTGATGCATTTTCCGATGGACGCATACTGACGCAGATTTCAACATGAATGCGCGGGCGGCGGAAATGGTAGAAGTGACATTCATAACGTTATGAAGTTATGAAACCGAAGTACTGGCACGGTGTCCTTCGGGACATCCGATTGAATTTGGACGACACAGAGAAGATTAGCGTGGCCCCTGCGCAAGGATGACTCGCATCAGTCGAGAAATGGTCCAAATTAAAAAAGGATTACTGGAACGGATATCGACAGCGCACTGATCACGCAAGAGAGGCAAGAGAGAGGAGCAGAATAGAACAAGCGCACTCTGTATTCGTCAAAAGTTTGCAGCGAAGTAACTTCAGTGATGATGGATGGACGAGAGGTCTATTAGAGAGAGAAGTGGTGACTGATCGATCGTACGACGTATGCGTGGCTGGCTCGTCATTACCTGCCTGACTGGCGTCCTGATGAGTCGGCGCAGGACGGAGAACCGAAGGGAAGAGGAGTGAACTCTTCTGTTATTTCCAAGGCTCAAAAACACAACGCTGGAAACCGGCACCAGGATCCCCATCTTCCCTGGAACATAACGAGCCCTTATAATGAATGTAGACGTGCTAGATGTCGGGTCCGGTGCTGCGCCGCTGATGTGGTGGGTTGTGATTGGCGGAAGCCGTACACACGATTCGAGGTACCAGGTCATGGACAGGTTGTACTGAGAACAACTGCCACGTGGAGAACCAAGCTAAGTTAAGGAGGCGACGATGTGCAACGAAAAGCGAAAAAGGAACCCTAGTGTAGGGGGAGGGGTATCATGAACAGAGACCAAGGTAAAGGGGTAGAACAGCAGAAAACGAAGGATCAGTGCATGTGCAGAAGAAAACGTACAAGGCGGTGAACAGTCCAAGAGAGAGCGTACCAGGTACTGAAAAATGAGGAGGAAATAACCAGAAGAGATGTACCAAGTACAATGAAGAAGAAAGGCGAAGAAAATGACAATTCCATGAACGTTTTGTAGCTGCTGCTGATACACACGTCATAGTTCGAACTCGAATGAAATCGGACGAGAACAACAATCTTAGGGTATAACCGAAAAGAAAAGGTGCAGAACAGGTATTTCGTTTAAACAGACGTTGGACATTGCTACGCCACTCTCGAAGTGCGCAAAATGAGAACGAACTTCCCGCTATAACATGTCGAGATACGCCCACGACATTTTTGTCCTTTTCACATTTCGAGTGGTGTGCCGAGGACCTTTTTCATTTTGTCTTCGTTCAAAGAGCTTGTTGGTCGTCCATATTTCGAGTGGTGACCCATGAGGGGCCCAAAACTCTTGAAAATGTGACTCATGATAGAGTCTGACAGCTCTTGAAACATTCCCCCATTTCAAGAGTTGTGTGGGAACACTGGCAAGGCCCTGACTTCACGTTTTCCGGGACGAGGTCCCACTAGCAAAGAGCACTGGATTAAGCTCAAGAATAGAAACATGTTCTGAGCAGAGATGCAGAAATACAGTTCAATCTCGATTTTCTGCACTTTTCCTGAAATATATACAGATTCTGGCTAGTGGGACCCACTGCT